AATGGTCATAATAAATGACAATTTAGGAACCTACTCTTAAATAGTCTCTTACACAAAACATAAGAAAACATATATTCATTTTATTTAAAGCCCCTCTTCTTGTTCCCACAGTTGGATGTTTGAGGTTCCCTGTGCAGAATGATGTATGTGCAGAGGAAGGATGTTTACACATTTACCTGTTGAAAGTGGAAACTCTGTGCTCATTCAAATCAGATTTTTAAGGGGCGGGGGTTACAAGCATGATTTGTGACATCACAAATAATTTGGAAGTCAGTACTGGTCCCATTCGCAACTTATAGTGCACATACACTGAGAATAGACTTTACAGTGAAGTAAAGATTTACATATTCATAGATTCTTGAACTTTTAATGAGGTAGGTGGATTTGAATGTGGAAATTAAACTTTTTTGCGGAAGTAACATATCAGACACACATTATTGTTCCATGCAGACTATTTGTATACATGTCTAGAGGGGATCTTTAAAAAACTTTATCCACTCAGTCCAGAGTATCCTTTTCCCCTCCTCAGTTTTTCCTTGTGTTGAATTCTGTGAATGAAAAAACTTATTGTAATAGAGTAAATGGTCTGATGAGTTATTATAATTACATAGTTTGAGCTGGGAACAACTTAGTTGTGTGTCTTGATCACCTCCTTAGCTAAAAAGGTCAGTTTGAGCTGATTGCCTCTGGGTGCTGCTTTAGATAAACTAATAAACTTGTTTTTGTCTCTACTGATAATGTGTGTTCTAATGCAATCTGGCAGCAAACCAAATGTCTTTGACAGAACAATACAGTTTAAAATGAATTAATTATGGTTACTAAAACACATTGTACATACAGACTGATAACAATCACAATGGCACTTATAATACTCAAAGAGGATAGCCAAATACATGCAGATTTTACAGGCTAAATACTGAGCTGTACACTGGAGTCTCAATGTCTGTCACAGTCAAATGCATACATGTTGCTGTTATTATCTATATGACTCTTGTTTTCAGTAATTTCTTCAGAACAACATTTCACAAAACATAACTTTGCAGATAAAAATGCTACAATGAGTGTGTCACAGCACTACCAAGAAAGCTCATTAACAATTAATAGCATCACTGAGTTGGAGCATGCAATGCAACAGGTGCTCGTTGCATCACAGCTGCATTGTGTGTGTTTGTGTGATCACTATAGGTTACGCTACAGTACATTATAATACAGGGCTGCTGTGGTGGCTAATGAGTGGTGAAGGCTTTAGGGCAATTTAAGGGAAAGATCAAACAACATATATCTATCTATCTATCTATCTATCGCTTACTCTCACTCTCTGTAACTACCCATCATGTCCCCCCGTTGCTGTTGTTTCTGCTCTCTTTTTCCCTCCCTCTCACTTATTATTCTGTCTCTATCTGCCCATGGTGTCCTCACTCGCCACCCTTTCCCACTCTCTCTCTCTGGGACAGCAGATGGAGACTATGGCCCAGTTCTGCCTTTTGTTCTGGGTCCCCAGAGAGACCCGTGGCTTTTTGGACAGCACACAGCTCGGCTCCCCATATCTCATACAAAATGCAAGCGCCTTTCTTTTCATTAAAAAGGGAAGCTGTGGAATGCACACATTCTGAATATATTTATTGAAATGAGCATGACTACAGAGGCTTAAAACATATTGAACGCACCTCTTAAGATTGTCCTGACTGCACTAGAGCTTTTGTGTAAAATCTACTTTTATGCAGGATAATGTTAGTTATTTTAGTTCCTCTAGTGCTGCCTACTGGTTTTGAGCACTCTACATATAGAACATGGTGTCAGTACAGTTTAAGTTTGCACATTTGCATTAACTTTGCATGATATTATGTTATTTGTCACAACAGGGATTTAAAGATTTTGTTTTCCTCTTTTACCCACAAAAGAGCACACGCATCAACGGGTCTCAGGTTCTCCCTATAACTGCACCACTCTGTTGTTATTTTTTTTACTTCAACGTCCGTGTGTAAATAATTAATGTGCGTGAAACAGTGAAACCTCAACCTGGCCAGCATCCCACCTGTTGAAGTTAGCCCCCCCCCCACTCCCACTTCCAATAGGTATCACAATAAAGAAATAAAGCCTGTTGGTGTTTATTATTACACAGCAACATGCTAAAACATTAAAGATACTAAGCTGGAGATAAGGATTATCAGTAGTCAATTGCGGTGAACCATGAACGCAAACGCACATGTATGCAAACTCGTCTCAAAGCCCAGGCACGGTTGTACATTTCCTCGTTATTCACATTTGGTGGTTTGCTTATTTGCATGGTGCAAGTGAATGCTTAAAAATAATAACACACCCCTTTGTAGAAATCTAAAACGTCCATCAGATGTGGTCCTGGTTCAGAACGCATGCATATTTGTGTTTAACCTGTGGTTAATACCAGAGGCAATAAAGGAACGTTTAAATTATTGTTCGGACCTGATTACAGACCTTATTTAATTTAATGATTTAAAAATAATGCTACGGAATCGTGATGGTTTACTTTGCATTTTACAACAAAGACCAATAATTTTGCTGTTATATTTCTACAGTATGCCTTTCAAATGTTGACGGAAACTTGATCTTATTTCACCGCAACACGAACTCGCTGCAGATGGCTGTCTGATCATACTCAGATACAGTTCTACCTGCATAAATTCTGTTAATAATTTATCACAGCATCCTCATTATATTTCCCTTTATTCCATGCCTTCAAGAGGCGAGCAAAGGGCCACGGTTGCGATTGGCTGAAGCCGGTGGGTGGGAGACAGAGCAGTGACAGGCAGCAAACAGGTAGTTCAGTTTCATAAATAATTTCGTATTTTGCTTTTATCGTACCACACCCCGTCGACCTCAAAGCCTGTGAAACATCGCAGATGAGTCAAATAAGTTGGAGAAAGAGGAAGAGGAAAAAAAAAAAACTTGAGTTTGAGTCACGCAGCAGGACAGGTTGCCAGAGCCAGTGCGCGCGCGTGTGCGTGCGTCCACACGCGCGTGTTTGTTTGAGTTGATGGAGAAAGAGAAAGAAAGGAGAAAGAAAGGAGTAGAGAGGAGGAGGTGTACCGACGTGTGTGTGTGTGTGTGTGTGTGTGTGTGTGTTTGTGTGCAGGCCTTTTCTTTAGTTGGGAAAGTGTGTTCCCTCTCGAGTCAGGTCCTCGGGGACACGGTGGGGACCCGCGAGCGCTCACCAGCTGACAGCGCGTGCTTCATTGAGGCCATCCAACACCTCGGCCCACGAGCCTGCCAACAATAGCCTGAAATTAATGCACACTCCCCATTACCAAATCTGGTATTCACCAAATGGACGACATGGCAACAGTTCAGGAGGAGAAAAGGGAACTTTTCGCCGAGTGGAGGGAAGGTTGTTGCGAGAAAGCAACTTTTTTAATTTAACGCAGTTTCTCTGAGTCAAACGCAAAGTTTGGAGCACTCAATCACAAGGCCAGGGAGCGCGTGCACCTGCAGCATATGGCCAGCGAGCGCGTGTTGGACACGTTTCACGTCGCTTTTAGTTTACAATAAATTACATAAGAGGAGATCTAGTGTTGAACGTGTCTTTAATTAATGGAAATACCTGCGCATGTAGTTTGAAGTACAGGTATCCTACCCACATCACTTTGGTCGTGAAAAACTTTTATTTGCACTTTATTATCCTCCAAATCCCAAACTCAATAAGGCCCGTTTAAAAAAAATATATAGGCTATATATAATGATATATAATATATATAATTCATGAAAGGATATGGTACTGTAGATGTACATTTCGTTATATGCAATATAGGCTATTTCTAGAATTGGATAATACAATATTTAAATTACCCTTATGTTTTATAAATGCAAAAACTCTCTTTGTTATTATTATTATTATTATTATTATTATTAGCAGTAGTAGCCTATTTTATTATTGGTTGCTAATAGACCTAACCATCACAAACTTCTTCTTCTTCTTCTTCTTCTTCTTCTTCTTCTTATTATTATTATGTAGGGGAAAATATTAAGGTGTAGGCTACAGTCACATTTTATTTAAAAAACAACGGTTGATCAAAAGAGTTCATTGCAATTATCTAAGTAAGGTGCGGGGAAACAAGAGAGACAAAGAAACATTATATTTTCGTTTGCTTTTTTATTCCCAAAATCAAATTAACATAACAATAAATGGCATAATGATAGCTTTTTTTCAGCAAATTTACCTATGGAGTTATAAAAAGCAAATCAAATGAAAAATATCAGTAATAAATACATGTCAATTAATCTCATCCAGTGAAAGCAAAAGACACACAAGTTCATCTGAAGATACAAAAGAAAATACAAAAGAAGGCAGCAATGATGGCTACATTAAATAGGCTATTTGTATGGAATTGGCAGCACTACACTAGCAAACAAAGCAAAACAATATTGTTTATTGGTTTGAAAACAAAAGTCGCATTTCTCAAGCCTCTGGCTCGTATAATTTTAAAGTGCACATCATGAACTTTTGAAGTTGCAAAACAAAATACATTATACATACAAATTAACAAATAAAAACATAAATCACAACCAAAAATCATATTATAGCTACAAAAAAATTGTGTTTTTTTTTTACATTATCAAATATAAGTAATTATCCATAAAGTTATGATTTTGTGGAAGACAGCTTTTTGGTCGGAGTGACGTGGGAGATACCCATGGCAGTGCTGCGCGCGACATGGCAGAGGGGTCTTCCAGCCACGTCTCCATGGAAACTGGAAATTATAGGCTATACATCTATTGGCAAAACCGAATTAGGCCTATCTCACATAAAAATAATCTTTAGACTATGTAACAAGTTGATAAAATAGAATTATTGTTAAAAATCGAACAGGACTTTTTTTGAAGAAGCAAAAATTTCTATCCTCTTAAAATGCGTTTTGTTAGCAACAGATAGACTGTATGATTGACACGATTTACGGACATTTTTTTTTGTTGTTGTAGGCTATAGTGAACCTTTAATAGAGTCTGTTACTTTTATTTTGAATCATTCAGAAGGAAACTGTGTGGTGACGGTGGCGAAGCTTGAGTTCTGTAAGGTCGTCTTCTTCACTTGAGTGGAGCTCCATCGCTATTTCATCCGAGTCACTAAAGTGGGAGTGCGGGGAAAACTCTCCGTCGCTCCGGGGAGACTCCTTCCTCCCACCTCCGACCGGTGCGAGCGACGTGACTGCCCGAGTGGAGGACGCAGGAGAGGGCGAACACATCGCTTCTTCAACCATGGCGGAAAATGAAGCGTCGTCGAAGGAGGAGCGGAAGGGCATCCCGCTGATGTGCACAGGTAAGCTGCTACCTGAGACGGACACAGCCCCTGCTGTCCTACAGGTCGTCGGGGACGGGGAAGCCCTGTCCTTTGCCCCGTCGAAGCTCACGGTGGGTGAAAGCATAACGTCACACTTTGGCGAGTTGTTGGTACTGTTTGCGACGTCGTTTTTGCTGTTGTTGGAGGACACCGGGCCTTCCAGCAGATCAGCGAGAGCGTTGATGTAGATCTGCGCCATCTGTAGAGTTTCATATTTGGAGAGCTTCTTGTCGTTGTCAAACGCCGGGATGACGCTGCGCAGCTCGTCAAACGCGTGGTTAAGGCCGTGCATCCGCCTCCTCTCGCGCGCGTTGGCGGCCACGCGCCTCTGCTTCTGGACCCCGTTGGCAGGTCTGCTGGACGGGGCTCTCTGTCTCGAGGATGCGTCCTCCTCGGGCCCGGTGACCGCGCCTTTAAGACGGCACAGGTCCCTGACTTTGAGCGAAGAAGAGGAGGGGTTCTTGGCAGTTTTTCTGTAGCTGGGAGGGCTGGGGTGGCCCGAGGACTCCGGGGAGCCACTCTCTGAAAAACGAAAACAAAACATTTACTGAACTGGTCAAGTTTGACAACAACTAATAATACATTCATATAACCTGCTCTTGTGACTGTTTTAGTTATTAGCGTATAACAATGTTTTAATTGTACAAACTAAACTTTGGACTCCTCTGTAAAGAAAAGTTGTGCCTATTTGAGACCTTTAGTGCCCGCAGAAATCCCAGTTGCCTGTTGCATTGCAGGTGATGTTGCTTTGAAATATTGTCCAAAATGCCGAATGTCTAAGCGGCGTTTCTCACCGTGAAAGGAGCCGGTGCTCGGGCAGGGCGAGTGCAGCAGGTAGTCGGGTGAAGTGGCGTGTGCCGCGCAGGTGCCAGAAGGCTGCACCAGAGCCAGCCAGGCGCGTGGGTCACTGCCGCTGTCCACGAGCGTCAGTCCAGGATCGTAGCGGGACTCCTCGAGCTGCCGCTCCCCTCCCCTCTCCACCACTCTGGGGCTCCTCTGCCTCGAGTCGAGGAGTGCCACCTCTCGTGCGCCCTTGCTCCAGTCTTCCACACTTTGGACATCCATGTTTCCAAAAAAAAAATCTCCAATAGGAAGGTAAAGTTAAAACCGACTAACAATATTAGAAAAAAGTTCTTGGAGGCACGCACTGCTCTGCTCTCGCGCTGTGTGAATATGACTGTCGCGTGCGGGACTCCTTCTCTGGTGTCTCGAGGCGCGGCGTCGGTTTAAAAAGCGGCACGCGTCTGGGAGCCCCCCTCCTCGCGATGGTCGCGTGTTGACGTCCAATGAGAAGTCGCCGTAAAGCCCGAGAGAGGTGATTATGCCCCCCTGAAGCCGGACTGTTTATGATAACGTTACAATTTGAGGAGTGTTTAACGCAAGGGAGGTAAGGGGAACCTCCCACAGGACGCACGTGCACGGGGAGGTGACGGTTTTAGGTAAGGAGCGTGGACGGCGCGAGACGTTCGCAGCTGGGACAGAATTCCTACCTGTCCGTGTGTCTGTCCCTCAGGCATGACAGAGGGAGGGGGAAGGAAAGAGAGGGAGCCGAGGAGGGTTCATTTGCCATCTTCTACTGTCTAAGCTGCGTTGTCCCGACTGTTATCCTCGATGTAAAGGCTGCATTTAAGTTTGTGTCCCATTGTATGGCTCCAAAGTTCAAGTCAGCACAGATTAAGATGCATCACATATTAGGGAGGACTACTAAAAGACAAGAATTTCCCCCAGAACAACTTAAAGTATGAGGCTTCATCTCAACACAAGCACTATAAACCATTTTTTTTCTCCATACAGAAAATAACTGCATTTTTATCACCCAACAGTGACACAAATGGAAGGATAGAAGTTGTAGAAATTAAGAAAGTTGAGGACCAAAAACCTGACAAAAAAACAAAAAACTTTGGGCCTAAAACTTGACCAAAAGTCATCTGGAAAAAAAGATGCCAACAAAAAAATAATTGCGCGCTCTTTGTCAATTCATTCATTCTAAGATCATCTCCAGTTTCCATTTTTCTTTTGTAGCGGGTCTAAAACCTTTTGATCCAGCTCTCGGAACGCCCTGCCGGTAAAAAGGGAACGGAAACATGAGCAGGGGTCTCGCGCTCAACACTTTTTCCATACTGACGTGAGCTGTATGTGGCGCGCGGTTGCAACTGGAAGCATATAGGGAGAAAGTACACACACACACACACACACACACACACACACACACAGAGAGAGAGAACCCGATGGGCACTTAAGCTGCGATAATACAACTGATTTTATTTCTAATATTCACGGGGAATTGCACGTTGCGTCGTCGGGTATTTTAAGAAGAACTGTGAACAGGAGTGGGAAGAAAAGAGTCTGCATCGTCAGGCAGGAAAATTAAACTTTGGACAAATTCTAGCTATTTAGGGAACCACTTGCAGTCTATTGATCAAAGCAACCATGCTTACTGAGATGCAAACTTTAGGCCGAAGCTGGCAAATAAACAATGGGCTGATTGCTGGGTGGAAATTGGCTATTAAACCTAATTGCAGCGGTCGATTTAGGATAAGAAAGACACACAGCCTCAGCTAGTGTTAAATACAGTAGTCCAATGTATGAGGCACAGCGATCAAAGGGCTACAAGGTTAGCCTACCTGTTACTATCCCTAACAAGTCCCTCTTATATCGGCAACATTAAATAAGTTATGAAATTCAGGCCCAGGAAAACGACATTTAAGACCCTATTAATTAAACATCAACTCTGACATGAAAACTATAATGTTAATAATGGTTATAAATGTGAGTTTTGGTCCACATTCTGAAATAGTCAAACCCCTTAAAACTAGGCGAGCATGGGAATTGTGGGAAAAGCCCAATTTGTGGGAAGAAATCCCATAATTTCAGAGATAACCCCGACATCAATCTTTTCTATTTTTTATTCATGTATTCATCATGGGGACGTCTTGCGGGCTAGAGGTCTGGCGCCGAGCGTTCGCCCCCTCTTCCCACCTACAAGCCCCCCATCCAACGGGTCGGGCCGGGCTCCTGAAGCTACCGACAGGTTGGATATTGTAGCTGGCGATTATTAAAGTGTCGCAGCCACAATGGAGACTCTATGTTCCATTGGTCACGCCTGGGGGGCTCCTCAAGGGAGAGATGGGGTGGGGGCTCCCATTCCAGTGCGGGAGAGGAGTCTGCGTGCTGCCGCTTCTCATTCTCATCTCCTGGGAGACCGGGGCGTGACGGGCACGAGACTGGAGCGAGGGGTTTGCAAAACTTAACTGTAGACTTTCCAAAATTCACTCAGTCCACGATGGGCTGTTGTTTCTGATTTATTTCGAAGCCCTGTACGTTTTACACCAAGGGAATTAAGTCTTGTCTGCAAACTTTCGGTTTGCCACAGATACTTGGATTTGGAAATCAAGATCATAAAAAGTTACTGAAGTGTAATTTGTTTTAGACAGTGATGTAACTGCACACACAAATGTTAAATAACCAATAAGTAATGTTTCCATTTTTACTCCATCCATCATTAGTGACAAGTGACTGAGAATATCAACATTTTACATTCCAAATATATAATAATCTTACAAAGGATGATGGATTGTTATAGATTTATAGACATATATTAAAGTCAAGCATTAAAATGTACCAATCCAATACAGTATAACACTTTTTTTGATACTTTAAGTACATGTTGCTCCTACTTCTCTACTTCTACTTATGTAAAATTCTAAATGCATGACTTTTACTTATAATAGAGCATTTCTAAATTGTTGCATTACTGAGGTAAAAGCTCTAGATAGTTCCTTCACTACTAAAAAAACAGTTTACACACAACAGTTACTTATTGTGTCCAGTGGAATTCAAATCACCAATCATTAAAATAAATAGATAGATTTATTCCAATCATTTTCAATAATTTGAAGTCTGCCATTCATCTTGTTATAAAGCACAAAACTGAGTCAAATCTGAACAAGAGATGGAGAGATTTTTAACAATTGGGGGAGCTAAACAGTGCCATTCTCTGGTTAAAATGGAGAACTACAATGTAGTGCTCCATTGAACTTGACAGCAGTTGTCCTCAGTAGTGTGTCTATCCAGCTGTTAACAGCAGTATACAGGCCTTTGAAGTGAAAGACACAAAAGCTTAGCTCATGCTTGAGCTTAAAATCTATTCCACACATAAAATAAGTCAGATCACCCAAACCCCTTTATAAATATTATTTTTGGCATTTATGTTTACCCAATATATGTACTAGGATTAATAATGTGCAGCTACAAGTACGACAAGGGATGAAAAAAAAACTTTTTCATGCATTATGAAATGACACACACTGCCTGCATTAATCAATTGTACTTGTGTATTTGTTCTGGATCAATTAGCTCTTTGAAAATTAAAAATCCAAAAAGAGAGTGAGGGAGAGAATACATATTACCACTCTGTCTTGATAAAAGCATGACAACTTACCAGTATCTGGGTCAACTTACCAGCAAGATGTGAATTATACAGAATTAGCAACTATTTCTAGTGGAAATCAAGGAGACCGGCCAATACACTGAAACAGAACATTGAGGAGAGAAGAAGAAGACTTTGCCTGGAAAAGGAGCTTTTCATAGTATTTTTGTTTAGATGATTTTGCCACAAAAGAAAATGCCATGTGCTGTGTTAAAGCTGCACAAGTGTGAAACTGGTTGGTCATTAGTTAGGTGCATTTATCTTTCAGGAAATTTACAGATGTTTGGAGTGAACAGAGAAAAGACAAAATACATTTTGCATGGGGGAAAACATTTTTGAGGGTTGGATCCCTAAATTACCCAGAATCATGAACAGTAATTATTCCCAAATTGTGGATAAATAAGATAATTTGCATCATATTTCTGAAATGTACCACCTTTCATATGTGGTTCTCTAGATTAGCAAAAAACAACAAATACCATCCCACTGTAGAAAACCTGTTTATTAGACAAATTATACACAGAAAGCTTTGCCACTTGTAACAGAGGCCCCAGTTTGTTCAGTTTTTGAATAATATGCAACACATACAACAAAATAGGCCTATATTAAATACTGTACATCATAAATTTTTGAAAATTATCAAGTAAATCCTGTAGTTCTATGTATGAAATTAAAAATGTTAACAGATAGCGCAAGAGCAAGTTTGTGCATGCTTTCTTTTTAATCAACTTGCCACTTTTTGTTATTTAGCCAGCAAATAATAAAATGAACTCAGGATGACATGAGAAAAGCAGAGTTTGTGTTTATGTGTTTATGTTGACCATTGGCAGAACAAGGGAAACCCAAATGCAGTAATGTGACTGCTAAACTCAACACTAAAGCTCATCATGATATACTCTTTTCTTTTTGTTAAACAAAAATAGCATCAACATGTAAAATATACATTTTTATAATGTCTCTTTCATTTATACTAAATAAAACCTTTTAAATGTCTGTGTCCTATTTGTCATCCAATAGCCATACTGTAGCCTAATATAAGAAAAGAATGCCTAAGAATGCTTGCTTCAAAACACTGTGGCTTGACTGAGTTCTCTACGCACAACATTTTGCAGTTTTAGTTCTTAAAGATAACAAACTGAAAACTTGTTCTAAACAACTAACATTATCAATTATTAATACAGTGTTAGTGAAAAAGATTTGGTTCCATTTTACCACCCCGCCCTCTAATCCACAAAATATTCCTTTAATGCTCTTAATGTACCATTCCCCTTCCCCACCCCAAAATGCACCTTAATGGTCTCCTTTTAATTAATTGGCACTTTAAAAAAACAAGTTATATAAACAGTACCCTTAACATTACAGATGTGAAATAGAAGTATATTTCAGACTCATCTCATAAAAGGCAGCCATTGGGTTCCGATGGCCGTTGACTTTTTGTGACATTCCAATGACCCTGAAGCACAACCACTGATTTGCTCTAAAATGTTTCCAGTACACGGTGATATTTTGGGTTTGACTGGGAGTCGGGAGGGTACAGCTAACTAGTTGACATATAAGGCCTGTACTGAAAATGCTGTTGCAATGGCTTCTCCTCAAACACAAAATAAACTCCATTTCACCAGTTGAACCTGATAAGAAGTGATTAATGAACTCGAACATGACATGACCTTAATGAGCTTTTATCTTTTAAACACCCGGGTCATGGCAGCACTAAATTAAGCAAAAAAAGAGGGAAAAAAATCAAAAGTAAAAGTTTGAATGACTTAATGATGCAAAACCAGAGACTACAGCACTCATTTAGCAGTTTTTCAACGTTTGCTGAGAGAAAAAAACAAGTAGACAGCTCAGAACAATGTTATTTTTTGTACTTCCTGACCAAAACACATTCCACGCATTAAAATCTATTTTTTTCGAAAACAAAATTCAATAAAAGACATATAATAAGCATAAGCTTTTTGAAGTCTTTCGGCTTGTCTTTTATGTTTTTTTTTTTTAAGTCGTTTTTTGTATCATCCCTTTTTACTATACCTCTGAGAGTCTGATTAGAGGATCTCACCTTGACTTGAAAAGCAGATAGCACAGTACAGGTGAGAAAAGAAAGTCAGATCTACATACAATCACTTACAGGTCTGTGGGCACTGGTACAGTGCAGTGGGATTGACAAAGAGTCTTTAATGTGCATCAAAATGGTGAAAACAGTTTCAGGCTGATGCACCAAAATGGCAGAAATTGTTTTAAGATCAACACACCAAACTGGTGATTCTACAGTGTCGTATTGTTGCACTGTCATGGCATTTCAGCAGTTTCCAGACCGATGCACCATGATGGTGTCAGCATGTGTTCAGCTGTAAAGTCTTAGGTCTAGTCAGGCCACCGTGTGGACACCATCTTGGAGATGATTACACATTTAGAACCCCAGGTATTGGTGAAACAATACCAGAGAAGAGAAAACTCAGAATGGACTCCCACATGGTGAAAAGGCAGAGTAAAACTGGAGAAGTGGAATCTTCCAATATCCACTCAGATGGGGCCTTTTCAAAACTACAAGGGGCTTCCGTATGTATTCCCAGGGCTACACACAAAACTATTGTAATATATGCCTTCATAAAATAACTGCCCCATAATTGCTTAGTAGTGTGAGCCCCTTGGAGTTGTTTAATGGCTAAAGACACCATCAGCCATCCACCAATGGCAGCCCTGGAGCTCACAGGAATATAGACGTGTTTCCTGTGGTTGGAGTAGTATAAACTAAACCATCCGAGGTGGGGTTTAGATAATAATAGTCAGGTCATTTCAGCAGATCTCCATTTTATGAGGCAGTCCTCATATCATAAAACAGAAACAATAAAAAGAGATCCCCTTTCACACATATCCCCAAAAATAATCCCCCAACAATCACAAGAACAACAACAATAAAGCAAAGATTCAAGCCCCCCCCGACCCCTTCCCTTTTAGCACCTTACCATTAGGGTTTGTAGGGGGATAAGTAACCCCAACAGACCTCCACCTCTTTCGTCTTCTCCACATAGAAAATGGACACCCATGGAAACACCCAAGCAGAAACTGAAAACATAAAGATTCCTATGTACATGGATCTCTATCTTCTGACTTTTTAGCTAAGCCATAATGTATTTGTTCTCCCATCCCATGACCGACCCTAACCACCTTGCTTCCTCCCTCTGCTCTATCTCCTCCTCCTCCTCCTCCTGAACCAACCATATCTGTAACAACTCCTCATATAGAGGTGCCCCTGTCTGGATCATTGCCATATCCAAAGTTGGGTCCTGGACCTGTGGGCTGGTACGGGATGGAGGACATTGTTTTAATGGGGCTGCGGAAGAAGCCACCGTTGGGGGCCCTCTGCCTAAAAGGGCCCACCCCGCCAGTCCGGTGGTCCTGGAGGACGCCCCCGCCACCGCTACCGAAACCAGCGGAAAATCCAGCTGCGGCTTTGGCAGAGAGGCTGCGGCTAAGGGTCTGGATCTGCTCGGGGATGAAGGTGGTTGTGGTGATGTGGGTGTTGCGGAAATCACTGATCTGCTCGAGTGCCTGGCGTGCGGCGGGCAGTGCATCCATGTCAAGGGGAGTTAAATCGACGGAAGAGGTGGAGAACTGCTTGTGGGGGCTTTCATCCTCGGTGCACAAGCTGTTAACCCGGCGGTGTAGGTGCTCCAGGTCGATCTCCTTATCGTCCTGCAGGTGGTGAAGGGCAGGGAAGGAGTAGGACGGAGAAGAGGAAGTGGTGATGGTAAATGGTAGAAGGGAAGAGAGGTTAATGGGAAGGGAAGGGGAAAAAATGTGAGGTGGGAAGGAAGACATTGGAAAGGAAATATGAGAAGGAATGGGATAGGATAGGATAAAGATGATGGTATTTAAGGATGGGAGAAGGGTAAAAAGAGAAGGGACCAGTTGGACAGGATGAGGAAGTAGAAGGAGGGAGATGGTGAGAAGGAAAATCAAGGAAAGTTGGATAAAGGAAGGAAAGGAGAGAAAGGAGGTGGGGAGAAAAGCAGTGAGGGTAGTGCAAATAGAGGAGTAAATGGAGAGAACAGCAAAGGAAACAGAGGAGAGTTCGTGCAGAGAAGATATATTTTGAAAAAAAAGGGAGTGGACAAGGATGGGGTAGATTTGTATTCAGAAATAATGATGTCATCCATCCGACCAGTATAAATGGAGTGTAAGAATAATAGTGAAAGCAAGAAAAGGGTTTTTGTACAACGCAGGCGATGAAATGATGAGGCCAAGATGACGTGCACGTGGCCAAACAAAGGTTTTGGCACAATTAAAAATAAAATGTAAGTTGAGGTAATTGCAATAGTTAAGTGTTGAAATGAGAGTGGGAGTGACACAAAATAAAAGTAATATAAATAAATGTTTGATGGTCACAGGGAAACATGGATGTGACAGGAAGCAGGGAGAGCAAAAAGAGAGGAGGGAAAAAATGGAGGGAAGGATAGAGAAGCACACTCTGAGCTGTGGTCAGGATATTGAAAGAGAGAAACATACACACACTTCTACAAGGTCTTTAAGGGAGTGCAGATAATCTGGAATACACACAGAAACACACCGCCATCATGCTGTGTGCTCTGTGATTCCAGGGTACTAGGTCTATTGTCTATATAATAATAATATAAATATGAATATAAAAATAACAATTTTACCCATATTGCATTCTGGCCATCATGCCAAAAAATTCACATTGAGATTGACATCTCATTTTCAAGTGAATTTTTTCCAGGCCACATACAATTCATCGCTGCAGCTCTTATGGCTTATTCATAGACTGCATCATAGAATGTAGATGATTTTAACTTCTATCAAACAATGTTTAACAGCCTTAACAATCTTAACAATTCCACCTAAAGACAATGCACATACATTAACTTAAACTTTAACTTAACTTACAGTATAAGTTAAATGAAACTTATTATTATATTCACATATAAATAACTTATCCACATAGTCTAAAGGATGGTAACAGTCAGTGAGAGGTGTTTCATGCTTTTACTGAATAAGGAAAGGTGGGCAGTGGTGCGAGGGAGCTGAGTTTGCAATGAATGAGGTGCAGATATAGAGAGGAGAAGGCTTGGGTGAAAGGTGTTGGAACTTTTTTATTTTTGGCACCGGCTACACAAACGTGGCAATGTGCTTCTCTAGCTTCATGGAAGGTAAGAGTCTCAGAGGAAGTGGGACGTGTGGGGTGTCACATCATTTTAGGTGTCTCATTTGGGTGTTTTACACTTATATTTAAATATTGTTTGGGTAAAGTCAAACAGGGTTTTGTGAGGAAGTGGGTCACATCACTGGGGGTAAAGACAGAGTTACTGACCGTGTCCTTCGTGTCTGGGGGCTCTGGACCTACTGTATGTAGCTCACGGAGAGAGGGGGCCAACAGTGGTGCCCCCTGGTTGCCATCTAAGGAAGGGACAGTGGGAGGAAGGAGAGGACGAGGGGGCGCTAGTGTCTGTTGTGACACTATCATACACACACTAAACGTTTGAAGGAGGGGGTATCGGAAGGGTACAGTTGGTATCAAAGAAATGACGGGAAGTGAAAGAGAAGAGTGAATCACAAATGGTCAGTCTGCTGTCTGTGAAAGGAGACTAACAGGTAACTACCAGGAGTGACCGAAAGGGACTGAGGCAAGGAAACGTGGAAGATGGCAGGACCTGAATGCATGACTTTACTGTAAAGGGGGGTGTAATGTTTTCCTCTGTTACTACTGTAACATTAAAGAAGAGAAGTCAACACTGAATCCCCAAAATGATCATACATCTAAAAGTCTGAAATGAATTTAAATATACATCTCTAATATTAGACTTTGCATAATCTACTGACTAATGCAAAGGCCTTATTTTGGACAACAAAGCCAAGTTCAGACAAAAATGTTTTTTGTAATATACAAAAATTTGCAGGATTTTACCTGCATATATAACTTTACAGAGCATGTTACTTTGATTGTCTGGTCAAAGATGATGCTCTAGTTGTCTCTAGATGTAGAGACAGCACCCTCTAACGGCAGAAAGGCATCATTGCACACATAGTAAACTGGCAACATGCCAGGTATATAAACGTTTTTGAAAGAGGTACATTTGCTTCCAGCAGAGAGCTTTGCTATTCTGTGAACACCAAAGTTTAAACCCTCCTCACTGGTGTCCATAATTTCTCTTCTTACGTTATCATTCATATATCATGGCATTTGAAATAGCATCTGTCTCCAAGCATTACTAACCAATGATTTATTTTTATCCTCTATTGTATGTATAACCTTGGGGTAGGAGGTGAGGTGGTAAAGGTGGTCATTCTCATTTTGGGGGCGAGCTCGGAGGGGTTGGTGGGTTCGTAGGAGTGCTGCACAATCAAGGCGCAGGGAATGTCGCAGCATGCTGGGGGCTGGTAATGGGTGGCGGAGGGGGCAGTGGTGTTGGCGGTGTTGGGGGTCTGGTTCTGGGTCTGACCGCCCAGCGCAAGAGGGTGCTCGTTGGGGCTGTGAGGGCATGGATCAGCAGCTTGCCTGGCAGATGGGCCATCTGCCTGCATCTGGTGTGGGTGTGTGACGTGCGCGTGGTTATGTGTGTGAGCAAAAGGGAGAGGAGGAGGGAGAGAGAG